AAATAGACCATAATTTTTACAATATTCTATAAATTCTACAGAATGTTTGGCGTTAACATGTTTGTAGTTGGTTTTTTCGATTTTTCTCACTAAAGATTTTTGGTGAACGTTTAGTTTATTAAAATTCAAAATAAACTTATTTTCCAAATAAGGCCATATTTCGATTCCGAATGAATCATCATCAGTGCGGTTGATGTTTATATAGGGAAATATTGACTTTGTCAAAATGAACTTAGATGGAAATTAGGTGTCAGGTTTCTTTACTGGCTGGTCATCTACTTTAGTCTCCTTTTCTTCATCGATAGCATCATATTTTTCTTTGAATTATTTGACGCTGAATCACTAACCTGCTTGTAAACAATGGTAATAAGACTTATTATATTGAAAAGATTGTTAAAGGCAAATTACTACACAAAAATAACCTTCCTATTACCAACAATCAAGATAACAACATCATCTTGTATTACAGAAATCACATGTCAACAGCATACAAGGTAGATGAAGCTATTCTTAAGCATATCATCAATAAAAATGTCACACCAACCAACCCAAATAATAAAGTTAAACTCCGAATTTATTACAACAATAAAAAGACGTCTCACCCAATACTGAAAAACAACTGCAGTCCTAGAGATAACTCTGAGTTAAAGCGCAATCACGTAATATATGAATTTAATTGCCCCTTTGATGGCTGTGCACGTCAACATGACTCATATATCGGGATTACTACTACTACCTCATTGACTAGAAGGCTTACGATGCATAAACAGAGTGGCGCTATCAAATCTCATTTGGACTCAACACACTCAATCACTATTAGCCGTGAAATCCTCGACAGTAACACCAAAGTAATATACCAGAAGAGCAACTACACGCATCTTAAAATTGCAGAAGCAGTCCTAATTGACATCAATAAACCAAAAATAAATATACAACAAAAAATGACAACCTCACTTCCAACCCGGCGCTTAACCAACAACGAAAACAAAGAAGTAATAAAAACTAGCATTGTAAATAGTGACAAAGAAAAATATGATGCTATCGATGAAGAAAAGGAGACTAAAGTAGATGACCAGCCAATAAAGAAAGTTCATCAAAAAACTTTAGTGAGAAAAATTGAAAAAACGAACTACAAACATATTAACGCCAAACATTTGGTAGAATTTATAGAATAAAAATTATGGTCTATTACCAACATTTATATATATATATATTTATATATATATATTTATATATATATTAAACAAAAAATTATCGTGAAAGAGGATAATGATTTATAATGAATTTAACAAATTCAGTCGATTGAATCTATTTACATTTGTTATTTTTATTTGCTTATGGTGCTTCACAAGCGGAAATAATTTCATAAAAAGCATTCAATGCGACTGAAATTTATAAAAAAAATTAAATAAAAGGTAACATAACCAAACTTATTGGTCAGAACAAAAAACACGTCGAAATTATTGCAAAACATTAAGAATTTATTTTTATCGGAGCATAGAGAAATTAATGGGACATCATAAACTCTTCAGAAATTATTGGAACATTGAAAAATTAGCGGGAATTAAAAATCGGGATTGGTAAAGGTAAGTTTAGTTTTTGAGGTCCGGATATTTATTCGTGTTCATCGAGAAATTGGTTATAATTTTTACATTTTTTTGGTAATGCAAACAGAGGCAACTGAATAAACACGTTTTTAGATATCGGTTATGATGAGCAACACATGTGTACTAAATGTACTCGCGACACACGCTTGTTATTCGTTATTTATCATTCAGACAAAAGAGCAGTCAAAATCTTTATGTGGATACCACTCGATAATGACGTACAATTACCGACTAGCGACTTAAATTTTTATCACGACTCTTTTCCGTATCTTCGTTGTTGGATAGAACAGTAAAGCATGACTGGACCGAGCTAGATTATTTAACGATTTTAATTTATTTCCTCCATGCACCAGAAGCAAGTTACTTTGATAATATTAATCTGCAACTTTTTCATTTTTTAGACGCAGTATACGCCACTCAGCCGTAAATTATTAAGATAAATTTTTAAAATAAGATAAACGCCCATTGACGTGAAGTGATACTAGTATGAAAAAAGTATCCATTTCGCAAGGAACGATTTTCTCAATTTATGCTATTAAAAACAATTTAATTTAAAACTTTGAAGTCATACCTTGCTAATTTTATGGGCGAACACTTCGATGGCAATACAAAAACAATGAAACCAACCAAAGTGTAAAATTTAAAAAAAAGACAAATTGAAATAAAGGAAAAAGAAACAACACCGTGCTTGTTCAACCAATAAGAAATGATTTTTTAGAAACAGCCATAATCATAGATAAAGGTCTACTTATCAAAACAAAATGAACAAAATTTTGCAAATATGAATAAAACTAACTTCCGTTTTAAAAATAATTACTTTTAACGACACTAAAGAACATAAAAAAACAGAAAGCAAATTTAGTTTTCATTAATTTTTAGACCATCAACCTCGACTAGCCGTGGCTTGAAAATCTTCCGAGCCGAATCAACTATTTTTTTATTAATCATTAAAAAAAATCAGAATTTGACAAACGTAGAAACGGTTACAGCATGCGTGACAATAGTATAAAACGATAACGAAAAATAAAAAAACGGAGAAAAAATTGTTTAACATGAAAAGTATGGAAAATAAAATAAAGTAATAGTTTAAAAAGGCAAATAAATAAAATAATTTATTAATAGACCAGATCGATAAGAAAACTTAATTAAGTAAATGATAAAGCATTATTGTGTGTCAATATATTTAAGGTGTCTTGTGATGAAGGTCATGTCCTGATATGTTGACTGAGTGACGACTTGATCACACTGCTAGCGTATTGCAGAATAGGAGAGTCGAGATATTTTAATCACATCGTTTTGACAAATTCATCAGAGTCATCCAGCAACATTTTGTTACATTTTAAAAATCTTATATACTTCTTAGATTCGTATCCCGGCGTATTTCGCACACCGAATGGTTTTTCACACTGGTCAAATTGCTGCTTCTAACCACTGTGTCCTCAAACCTATCTAATGTCAGATTTGGCTTCAATTTGAACATAGAATATGCATTTTAAATAATAGTCTCGTTAAAAGGGTTTATTACACCCTTTCTAGGTGCAGAAAAATCAATAACACACTAACATCGTATATGAATACATGCTAAACGACGCTCCACACACGAAGCACATGATAGGCGGGGATCTTTTTGTCATATTCGAACCAGGTCACCACACGCTCTGCAACACAGCACTTGGCGGTTAGGCCATCACGCCGCCCTAATGTAATGTAATGAAGAAAACGTTCAAAAAAATCAAGTTGTTATAAATTTTCTATCACCGTAAAAGTCATCTAATTTAATTTCAAAAATCTTTACAGATTATTCACAATATCAAACGGTAATGCATTCTAGGGGTTTACGACACGATTTGAAAAAAATACTTTCTGCAATCTTTTCTCGCAAGACGAGTTTTTAAACTAAAATGATAACCTCTGGTGCCAGTCTCCGCACGGCGATTAACAGTGGGCAAATTGAATAATCCAACAGATTATGAAGAATTTGTTACGTCCATATTTAAATGATGGTAGATCTAATTTTGCCAGTCTAGAAATATAATCTAAGATTTTGCATGATTTTGGAATTCTGGTAGCTCTTCTCTGAATTTTTTCAAATTGTCTAGATAGACTTTTCTGTGAGGGCACCAAACGTGGACCGCAAATTCCAAACATGATCTTACCAAAGATTTATAAAGGCATATGAAAGCATCATCCGACCGACCCCTGAAGTTTCTAAATAAAAATCTTAAAATACGATTAGATTTTTTAATCTGTGTCATAACGTGCTCTTTAAAAGTAAGCTGATTATCTACGATCACCCCAAGATCACGTATGCTTTTAACTCTTGGCAAGATATGAGCAACCCCATTAGATTGTCGGAAAACATTTGCCAATCGATAACAAACTGCATTTACTTATGTTGACTTTGAGACTCCATTTATGAAATAATGACATAAAACTGTTCAAGCAACTTTGCAACAATGTACCATTCTGCGGTGCTGACAATGTACTAAAAATTTTAGCATCATCAAAAAATGAAAAACTTCATCACCAACAGTAAAATCAGAATATCGACAAAATTAAAATTGTGAGACAATTTTTAAAGAAATGGAAAAAAAAGATTAATCTGCTGAAATGTGGTTTTTGAGAAGAATTATGAAAATTAGTTGGACCTCTCATACATATTTGTATTAAAACAGTCCGGTTATGAAAAGAGAAAATTACTACAAATAATCCGACGGGGTAGTTAAAGTTTTTTGGTCACAGGAATGGAAAATCTAACAACCACTAGAAAGATTGCAGGGAGAAGAAATCGCGGTCAACAATGAATAACATTCGTAAAGTCTTTGTGTCACATGTTGAATACCACCACATTTAAACTACTACAAAGTGTTAAAGATCAAACTTTGTGAAGGTTGATGGTCGCCAATGTCCTAAAAAGATAAGGCACGAGAAAGAACACCCCTCAAAAACTGCTGTCTTATAAAGAAATAGTAAAATACAAAATTTGAAATTTTTATGATAATGGGAACCCGTGCCGAGTTGATGTCAATATTTTCATTAGAAGATCCCATGGAAATATGCCGTAAAGAGAGAGTAGATTACAAAATGAATCTTGAATAAACTAATAAACAATTTATTAAAGAACTTTGTTTAAAATAATCCAAGTATAAAGTTATTGCAGGCCTTTTCTTTTAGAACTTTTTTGCGTTCATGTAAACAACGCAAATAAATCGGTTTAAGCTAAGAAAATCGGCCAATATTGAATGCCGTCATGTCACAGCACATTATTTGCACATCTGTCTATAGATGCAACCAACATAGTTCACAAAATTTTTCCTGCCTCTCTTCACGAAAGTTGATGCCGTCTTAAAATCATTCGATGAACCTTCGTCTAGAATAAAACTTTCAGTGGATTCATAATAGATAGGCAATCCAAGTTTTGAGATTGAGACATGGAATCATGATGTAGACTAGATGATGCTGTAGGGGATTAAATATTTCATCTTTATTACTAACAATTAATAATTTTTGTATCTATGTTTGAATTTCATTACTACTTCTTCTATGCTTTACTGTTCTTTTTTCGTTCACATTAGATAGTTACTGTTGGTTTTGTTTAATTTAATACAATTATTAAACTCGTCTAAAATTGTCCAATTTATAATTCAACAACAAAGGCGAAACGTTAATAAATCGAACATACCTCATCAATTGGTGACCCCTAACGTGACTTGAAAAGAAAAACGAAAATCCGAGAGGGAAAGAAAAGATCGAAGAATGTGGGTATAAAAACCAAAAAAAAAACAAAATCGTCAATCAACATAATGTTTCAACCAAATGATGACCCATTCGCCATATTACCTTTTTTTCATGAAAACGGCAGTAACAGATTGGTTCGAGATTGCCAAAGTGCAATTTCAATTGCGAAACGAGTTCTGTCAAGAAACCAGAAACTATCGCGTAACAATTTCCCTGCCGGTGGATAAAGTCGAAAATTTGTCACTAAAACTACTTCTTTTTCGTGCCTTATCCTATCAGGACAATGGCGACCATCGATCTCCACATAACCCGATATTTTACATTTTGCAGCAGTTGAAATGTGGTGATATTCAACAAGTGGCACAAAGACTTCACGAATGTTATTTCTTGTTGACCGCGATCTCTTTTCCCTGCAATAATTCCAGTAGTTGATAGATTTTTCATTCTTTCCTTCCGCATGATGTGACCAAAAAACTTTAATTGCCCTCGTCGGATTATCTGTAGTAATTTTCTCTTTTAATAACTGGACTGTTTTAATACATCCTCATTCAAAGTATAAGAGGTCCAACTAATTTTCATAATTTTTTTCAAAAACCACATCTTAGCAGCGTTACTCTTTTTTTCCATTTCTTTAGAAATTGTCCAGGACTCAGAACTGTTAGTTAGCACAGGAAGAATGTAACACCCTAACAGTCTTAATTTTGTTAATATTCTGATTTTATTATTAATGAGAGAGTTTTCTATTTTAGAATATGCATCTTTTGCCATAGCTATCTTTCCTTTGATATCTATATCAAAATTTACAACCTGAGGTAATCAGACATCTGAGATAATTGAAGCTGTTGACTTGTTTCACTTGTTTACCATTAATGATCGGGGGGTTTTGCTTTTACTGATAACCACGCATTCTGTTTTTTTCATGGTAATTTGCATGCCTTTCCTTTCACTTTCAAAAACCAGTTTGGAAACAATTGTTTGCAGTTTTTTCATTGATTACGCTATAAGAGCTGTATCATCAGCATATCTTACATTATTTGTATTCACGTCTCCAATGGATATTCAAGGTAGATCTTATATCTTTCTCATAATAATCTTACTATAGAGATTATACAGGTTTGGAGAATACAGAGTTTTACCTAACACCTTTCTTTATTCCGAAGAAACAAGTCATCTTGTTACCAACTTTCATCGTTGTTCTCTGGTCCCAATCAGAGGCGCCAACTTGTCCTAGATATTGGGGGGCCCTGGGCCAAAGCCACCAAATGATATATTATACCATATGATTATACCGTTTCATTATATATATATATATATATATATATAATATATATATATATATATATATATATATATATATATATAGATGACTAGCTAGCCATCTACGGCTCAAAAATTAAATATACACCATCTATGTTTTGATCTTTAGAAAATGGCGGAAGGAATAATTGTCGAGGTTAAAAGCGATAAAAAATACGTAATTGATACGTTATTGTGTTATATTTGGTACTTTCAAAACCAGATAAATGAAAAGGAAATGAAAACTTTGCTTTGCGTTTTTTTGAAATTGACGACATAAAAAAAGTGCAAAGTTTTTGCAGCATGAAGCCAGCACATTATCGTTCAGCCTGCCGGAGTTTTCCGAAGACGTTGACAAGAATATAATGTGGGACGATTTTCTTAGTATATGTCGGTTAATTTTTGAAACTAAAGTCAAAGACAAATTTCCATGTTTTCTTGCTGACGACTTGTGGAAAGTTACAAATTGTGACATTAGATTCGAGAAATTGTCAGCTGAACAGGTGAGGTTGCAAAAAAGTGTTATTCAAAATAGTCCGGCCATTCTAGAATTTCTTGAAGAGCATGGCAATATACTGAGTGATGTCCAAAAAAAAGGTGAACAGTATCGTGTGCAGTGATGTATGCGCTGATGGAGATTCAGATGCTGAGAATTCAGTCGCTAAAAATTTGTCTGATATTGCTGAAGAAGGTAACAATGATGGTGGAAATTTCATAACAGTCAGACGCAAGAAAAGAAGAAACATTTTACTATCAACTAATACCAGTCCATGTTGTCATGCAATATCAAAGACCACTGTTGAACCTCATAGGCCTACGCAATATAAAATATCAGCCAGTAAAGTTGTATATCGGAAAACATTTTATCACATTGGTAATATTTCAAAGACTTGTGCATCCAATGTTGTTGACTACCTTAAGTCAATTAATGTTAAAGTTTTGTCTTGCTACCCTGTATTCAAGAGGAGAGATGACAAAATATAACTTGATGAAACCCACCCTTCTACGTCAATCCGGTTGTGTGTAGATGAGAAGTATGCGGAAATAGTTGAAAGATCAAGTTCTTGGCCTGATTATGTTCAGGTTAGGAATTGGGTTTTCAATAACAACAGCAAAAGTGGCAGCACCAGAAATGCCGATGTCAATGCCAGGACATGTTCTGATGTGAAACGATGATATGGAACTAGCGTCATGTTTTATTTGCAAACTTTAAATTTATGATTTGTTAATTTGACTTAATTTTTTTTCATTTACCCGCTATTTTTATATTATGCAAATATACATTGTATATTCGTTTAATGTACATTGTGGATAAACTGTTGACTTTTGACAATCATTTCTTTAATTTATTGTTACTGGATTTTGAGAGTGCCTGTGAGATTTCATTTAATAGGCGCTATACAAATGCATTTAATAATATATATATATATATATATATATATATATATATATATGTGTGTGTGTGTGTGTGTGTGTGTGTGTGTATGTGTGTGTGTGTGTGTGTGTGTGTGTGTGTTTCAAACATATATAAATGTAGAAATTAATGAAATAAAACATCTAAATGAAATTAAAACAATGCAAATGTTTTTAATCGTAAATCATTGCATAATTGTTTAACGTCAATTGACTCAGTTAAGGTTCGGTAGCAATGCAGTATCGCTCTACGTGGTTCAGCCTCTCCTGTCCCATTGTGAATCGCAGATACGTTTTTAGAATGCTTAAGGCTGAGAAACTTCTTTCTGCTGTGCAAGTTGTTACAGGTGATGTCAAAAAAAGCATTAAACATTGAAAATTTCCAAAAACATTTTACGCCTTGATTTGCATTTCATCCGATCAATAACATCTTGCATAATTTGGATTTCCTTTTGAACTACTACAACCATGGCAGATGGGTCTCGAAATGTTTTCAGATGTAGAATAAGACAATCTTCATTTGTATCATTTCCGTAGTATTCTAAAAACTTTGAAACTTTTACATCCTGATCTTGCAAATTTAAAGCACTTAGATTGAGTTTTTAACGTTTTGTGCAATAAGAAATCCTTCGGACTTGAATCTTGTTTTCAGACATTCAAATGCGGCATCCACGGCTTGAATATAAAATTTTTTGAAATACTCCTTCGGATCAGAAGAAGTATTTTAAACGAAGAAGTTTATAAGGTTGTCCACCTTCGTCAATTTTTGGGGGCACGTCTTACGCACGCCAATAATGGTACTTCTGTATTATTTTTTGCAGCTTTCAAAGTTACTTCATGCCAAAAGTCATTGAATTCTGTGTCTTATTTGCTTAAATTATGGTATACAAATCTCAAGGACTAAATATGAAAAGTGTTTGTAAAGTTTAGAAAATTATTTATTTAGAAATTATTTAAAATTATATCTAAAAAAATATTAAATTTTTATGACAAAATATTGAGGCGGCTCAGCATTGTTGCGGGCCCGAGGGAATAAATATTGAGGGGGCTTGAGCCCCTCCAAGCCCCATGGAGTCGGCGCCTATGGTCCCAATAAAGGTTTTTGATAACTCTCGTGTCTTTTTTTCGTTTTTTTAAAAGTACTTAGAGAAAAAAATTATGATGCCCTAAAAGCAGAGTTGTTATCAACATATAAAAACCAAAACTAAACCGGTGCATCGTAAATTCTTTCAGGCATTGCCGACAACAATTTCACCGGTTATTGCGGCTCAAAAAAATTTCAACCTTTAACAACTGGAAAGTTTAGCTTTGGAAAAACATAGAACGTGACACTGCAAACAGCAGCAGCAATATCCAGGTGAACTGCACCAGTAATCGACTCGATAACCAATGAAACCGTTTCGACAAACAATTTACATAGTTTTTACAAAAGATTAACATCAATGATCTACCAGTACTCGGGAAGATAGAGCTAGAAAATGGAAAACATGTTGAAATTATCTCGAAGGTTGAACGCGTTATTAAAATGGTCAATTACACTTTTCCAAAGTTCAGAGGATTCAACAACACTCACAAACATCGTATATGAATACATGCTAAACGACGCATCACACACGAAGCATGTGACAGACGGGTATCTTATTGTCATATTCGAATCCGGCTACTGCATTTAAACTGTTGAAAACCATCCAACGAGTGCCAACCAGTCTCAAAAAGGGGCCTTTAAAAATAAATTTGAGTCTGGAGAATGTTAACGCAGACAAAGTTGAAGAGAGGCTGCCACCAGAGAAATCCGATAAAATGCAATTGTTTCTAAGCAAGAGCAAAGATGAAAATGACAGAATGTGCAGAAGGGTGCCATACCATCAGCAACTTCATACATGAACGATCCTCTCCCTCCAGTTTTTTCTCTTTTTTCTCCCGTTCAGCAGCAGCAGCAAGATCATCACAAAAAAGAAAAGCAAAGAATACATAGTTTATTGTTCTCACACTCATCTTATCCTACTCGAAGCTGGATATAACTTCACATGAGAAATCGGAACATGATTTGAACCAACAACCAAAGCGTCAACCACATTATCAGCAACAACAACGCCAGCAACAACAACGACATCACCATCAACATCACAAGAAGCATGATAGATGCCAGTCACAGCAGGATCATCAGCCAAATTATCAGCGACAACAGCAACATCATCACGAGAAACAAGATAAACGTCGGCCATATCAAGGAGTAGAAAAATCAAATTCAACACAAAGAAACAAATATTATTCCATTTGAATGGCTCCGCCTCTTGCGTGGGAGTATTGTAGGGAACTAAATATTTCATCGTTATTATTAACAATTAATAATTTTTATATCTATGTTTTAATTTAATTACTACTTCTTTTTTGCTTTATTTCTCCTTTTCCGTTCACATTAAATAGTTATTGCTGGTTTAGTTTAATTTACTAAAATTATTTCTACTCGGCTTAAATTGTCCAATTTTAAATCGTCAACAAAGGCAAAACATTAATAAATCAAACATTTCTCAACAATGCAATCTTGGATGAATTGTGCTATAATCTTGAGTGGCTGGCGAGATGGCTCGGTGGTTCAAATGCTGGCTGAGTCAAAACATCTCAATGGCTATCATATACTCAGCGTATATGATGCGGTGCTTGCGCGTGCACATAAACACATGTGTACGTCGTGTGAAAAGGATAAACAGTCTTTGTGGCAAAAGATGGCTGCTTCAAATCAATAGATATATAGATAACATAATATATCTGTAACATTGTAAGTGGTTCTGCGTATGTCAGAGCTGTAATAATAAAGACCAATAAAAAAAAAAAATCTTTTCTTCTCATCTCTTACTTCCCTTTGTCATGCTATTTCATTTTTTCCAGTTCATTCTATCCGTTTTGTTTTTTCTGCTGTTGTGAGAACATTTTGTCTTTTTCTATTTTTATTTTCTTGACAGCATCAGCTTATACGATGGCAAATAAACCATTTAATTTGGTTTTAAAACAGATCATGCAGTGGTTTGCTTTTCACATGTTCCAGTTCAGTTGCAGGGTATTTGGCACCTCGCACACTCCAGTCAGAATCTACTGCAGTCATTGCTTCCACTATCAACTGCTTTTCAGCATTAGCAACCTTATTTGAGAACAGTGAAAGTCATTTCTTTACCGAGATACCACAAATTATTCTTAAACTTTTTTGTAGCAGCACATGCTACATTCTTGTTGATTTCAAAGTATTGTTCAATTCTGCTCAGAAGTTGCAGATCCTTGACTGGTGCATCACTGGGTATTAGACACAACATCCATGCTGGCACATATTTATGGGTTACAAATAAGCAGAATTCAATTAAACTTTTTGTTTCAGTTGTTGTGAGCTTAAATTCATTGCGAAACAAATACATTATAAGATAGTAGATCATTTTAGAAAGTTGCATTGGTCTGTGCTTGTCCCGTGCTTGATGAAATTTTCTCCACATAACAGCCAGTCACAACAACAGCCAGTCTATCAGTTCTGAAGTGCGGATCAACAGTGTTTGTCACATAATTCATGATCTTCCCATCCCAGTGAATCAGAAAGGGGTTTCTGTCACGATCCTGAAATTGTTGGCAAATACTGCTGTCAATAGTTGATCGATGTTGCTGTCGTTTACGTTGAACTGTGGAACGTGACAGAAATGTATACTTGATGCCTTGCCCACAAGCTTGTGCAATGGCTGCTGTTAATACTGGGAACTTTTTATCTGACAGGTTTATTCTACCCAGTGCTGAAGCAACATTTGGCAAGGACAACATATCCTGCACAGTTTGTGGTTTTTGGCTGGCACTGCTTAACAGACTGTCTTCTACTTCACTGATCTACTTTTTTGTAGTACACTGGAATTTCAATTTCATAGTTGTCCTTTGTATCCTGCTTTTCATTATCACAGTCATCAAAACTAGATAAATGTAGTGAGGTACTTTCTGTCATCCGCTCCTGCTCTCGCCGTTTTCACTCTTTTTCTTTGCATTTACGTTGTCCTGTGCGCTCTTCTTTCTTGGCCAGGATTTATCAATGCCACTCATTTTCATTCGTCGACTATCCCTCTGGTCATTAAGAAATTCAATATTTTTCTGAATTCGGATGAGCTGCATGGCGTGTTGGTGAGCAATATCAAACAGCCTGTGCTCCTTTTTTCAAATTCTTTTTCTCGTGCTCGTTGTGTTTCACTTTGTCTGTTTTTGTTCTTTTTATTAGTTTGTAGTCATCAACTACCGATTTTACTTTTTCTACAACATGAGTATGGTAAGTTGTTGGTATCCTAGCCTTGTTCCACATGTCCATGATCTTATCTGACGACAGTTTTGCACTTTCAGGCACAGTTTTCTTTTCCACTTTGACATCACCTGTCGTTTGCAATATATTTACTGAAAGTTCATTTTGTAACTTCCAATCAATTATATGTCAGTCGTGTTGCGTGTTGTAGAAGCACACAGTTCGGTAAGTTTCATAAATTACTGCATCAATGATGGTCGGTCTATGACAGCTTTTGAAGCCCGGTAATGATCCTCTATAGGACTGGCACGAGCTATGTGACCAAAGAAGTTTAAACGACGCCTGAACAGGAGTGAGGAAACGGAGGGCTGCTGTGTTTTTCTTCTCACCTCAACGTTGGTGACGCGATCGTGCTAGGTCAGACGAAAGATCCTGCGCAAGCGCCATTGATCTGTAGCGTCTAGCTTCTTCAAATGAGCGTCAGTGTTGACCAAGCCTCGCATCTATAGAGTGGCACGGGGATGATGTATGCGTATTGATCGTCATCGAAAGGCCCGAGTGCCATATACCACGATCCAGGTACCTCATACACGCGCGAACAATGATGATTCGACGCAAAATTTCAGCGTCGCTACTGCCTAACGAGTGTATTTGGAAGCCGAGATATGGAAAAAAATTCACAATTTGTACTTCATTACTCAGCACATAGACAGACGCGGATGGCGGATCGCCCAGAGAGATTGTCAGAATTTTCGTTTTGTCCCAGTTGATTTCTAAACTAAAAGGCTTTGCCTTCTCGGATATAGTAGCCAACGACAGTATGAAAACATCTCGCATTTCAGCCAGCAAAGTGACATCATCTGCATAGTCCAGGTTCGTAAACACTTGTTCGCTGATTGTGGCGCCTTTGTGTACGGAACGCTCCACGATCTAATCCATCGGGGCCAAAAACTCATCCGGCGCAAGTATACATCTCTGTCTGACGCCACTATCTATTTCGAATTACCGAGAACATTGCCCCTCCGATCTAACACAGCTCAAGGTTTGGGTGTATTAAGTCTTAAGCAGTTTCACTAGGTGATCGGGGAATGCCCAGACCCAGGAACAACAGCCACACAGCATCTCTGTTAACTAAATCAAAAGTCACTCTCAAGTCAACGTAGACAATCCAGAGAGATCTACCAAATTCACGTCTTATCTGTAGAAAATGTGAGAGTGTGAATATCCTGTCGATGGTAGACCTACCAGGCGTGAAGCCATTTTGCTCTCCACGGTGCCGAGACAGCAAGAGAAAACGGATGCGATCAAGAAGGACGCGGGCACACACCTTGTCTGAAACTGACAGCAAAGTGATGCCTCAATAGTTTTTACATTCACGGCACAATCCTTTATTTTTGTAAAACGGAATGATGATACTTTTCTTCCAATCATCCGAGATCGCACCGGGCTGCCAAACCTTGGTGATGGCGGAGTGCAACGAACAAGCATACATAGGTTCACCTGATTTTAGCATCTCCTGACGAATGATACACAGGCCCGGTGCCTTGCCGCTCTTTAGCGTTTTTATAGCCCCGACAATCTTAGCTACGGAAGAGGGTTCAGTGTCAACCCCGGGGTCTGGGGCAAGGGATTCAGCAAAATCTAGAAATTCTTGCAAGGGCGCCACCATTGGGCAGTTGAGCAACTGGCTGTAGTATTCTCGCCATCTCTTTAGCTTTCCGCTTCCCTCACTAATGAACCGGCCAGTACAACTAAAAATAGGGCTAAAGACAGAGTAATTGGTCAATCTAAATTCCCGGATATGACCAAAAGCGTCTTTGGTCCGTCCATTCTGCAAGTCTTCTTCACCATCCGCCGCCAGTTTGTTCGCCCAAGCCTGACGATCCCTACGCAGCTGTCTCCTGCATTTCCCACGTAGAGAGCTGACGATTTCTTTTATGCCACTAAGTCTAGCCTACCGTTTCGTTTCGATCAGTTGCCTTGTTGCGGTTGAGATCCACTCATGACGCATGGGAACTGCATGACCAAAAACCTTATCAGCCGTTTGGCCATCGCATCACAAAATGAATCCCACGAGGAGAACTCATTTTCTGGAGCAGTGATGAAACACTTCTCCACTTCAGCCGTGTATGTTGCGGCAGTGACATTATCCCGTAGAAGACGGATATTGAATCTAGAGAGAGGTCTAGTTTTAACCACAGTACCCTTAAGGGAGATGGCTAAAGTGCACACCACTGTAAAATGATCAGTATCGAATTCCATGCCACGATACACACAGGAGTTTCAAACCGCTCCCCACCTGCTATTTACCAGGATATGGTCAACCTCCTTAGCCGTAACACCATCATTTGAGTGCCACGTCAGCCTATGGATATCCTTACGGCGAAACCAAGATCCGCAGACCTTACGTCTAGCGGAGGCAAGAATTCCAGAAAACAATCAGAGTTGTTGTTAGGTAATCCGCTACTTATTGGGCCAACTACCGCAGGCATACGGTGGTCAACACCCGTTACCGCGATAAAGTCGCCTAGGCAAATAAAAATGAGGTCGGTGAGCCTGGTGAAGCGAAACGAGTCCTCCAGTGCGCTGTAAAAGAGGTCTTTGGTTTCAGCCGTTGCTTCATTAGTTGGCGCGTAGCAGACAGTCACTGACAAAGCACCATATCGATGTCTGAAACGAGCAACCATCAGCTTTTCACTGATCGAGTGCCATACAATCAGTGCACAATCGGTGCATAATATAGATGCTATTAATAAAAATACATTCAAAGCTTTAAACTTCGAAACAGTAGGCTATCAATCAATCAATCAATCAATCAATCAATCAATCAATCAATCAATCAATCAATCAATCAATCAATCTTTGTTTAGCGTCCAGAAACCCAGTTCTTCAAGGTAGGACGTTGATTTTTTTGCCATCAATTTTTTGCGCCAAATTAGACGATCATTTGTATCCATTTCATTTAAATTTAGAGCTTTCATGTCTTGCTCGATTGTTTGCGACCGGGACTTTTTTGGGCGGCCTTTGGGACGTGTATCATGTACTTCAACATCTGCAAGAAAAGTTATGGCACTGTTTTTACTTCGTTTGACATGACGGTGTTGCCAGCATTTGTCCTTTATATCATCTAAACCAGAACGACGAAGGATTTCGATAGATTTGATGTGGTCCTTCAGACTAATTTGTTGCATCCATCGGAGCATTTTCATATTGGTTCGGTGAAGTTGTTGTTCCAGTTTGGTTGTCATTGGCCATGTTTCTGCACCATATAACAACACTGGACGTATCACCAATTAATAAAGTCTTGATCGCAGTGGTAGTGGGATGTCACGTCGCATCAATATAGAGACAAGGAGATGCTATTTATTCCAGACTGCACGTATGCGTGCTCGAACGGCAGCTTCAGCTGTTTCAGTATAATCCAGAACATCCCTTAGATATTGAAACGATGTGACTTTCTTTACCTTAATGGCTTCAAAAACATTGCTATTTCAAATTTGTTGTTTTGGGCCATCGTCCAGTAGCTGTTCACCAGTGTTCATTGCTTTAGTTTTGCTGACGTTGACTTTGAATCTATGATTGGCGAGTCTGGTTTTCCAATCTTCAAACATCTGTTCTGCATTCTTCTCAGACTTGGCTGTTAAAGCAATACCATCAGCATATATTAGATTCCAAATGTCACCAGTGCGTATCGGCTTTGTAATTTTTTCTATCACAGTTATAAATAACAGT